CCCGGGCGGGGCCGGCGGGCTTCCAATCCGGCGGGGAGGCGGGCCCTGCGCCCGGGCCGGTCCTCGGAGGGCCAACCCCAGGCCCGCTGGGCCGCGCGGGGCGCGTCTGGCACCGCCCCCTCGGGTGCCCGGGCGGCGGAACCTCGGGACAGGCCGCAGCCAGGGGGTCCTTCTGGCAGCAGTTAGTGATTACTTAGGATGTGAGTACTGAAAGGAAAATTGGAGACGTGTAACGACTGATGGGATAAGGAATTGGGACTCCCTACATCTATCACACTGTCACCAAATGAAAGATAGCATGGGAAGACATTTCTTACAAAACGGTACTGTGAATATAAAAGCATTTATAAGGAAAGTTTGTCTATAGAATAATTGTGCCTTTTAATAATTGTGCCCATTCTTATTTTAATAAGATTTATATGTAACAGATAAAAAATTGGTTACCTCAGTAGTCTTTACCCCATTCGGAATATGTTCAGATTTCCACCACTCCCCTCAGAAGCATTATTTGGGAAGATGCAGCTCCATCCCCTGCCACAGCATATTACTCATAAGTGGTTCCTCTCTTTCCTGTACACATGTGCAGGGTATTAGTAAGTCTTCTTAGCTCAACCTTCAGAATGTATCCAGAATCAACCACTTACCATCCCTACTGTAATCATCCTGGTCCAAACCATATTTTCTTATTTGGATACTAGAAGTATCTTACTAAGTGCTATTGTTTTGTACCCTCCACGAGTGGAGTTATGGAGAAACGCCTGCAGACTGAGTTCAAATTAAGCAAAGGTCCTTTATTGGGCGGGACAGTCAAGAGCAGGTTCACGCCACAAAGTCTCCTGACCCCCTTGAAAAGGGAGTGTAAAGTTTTTATATGGCACTTCAAGCAGGGGATGGGAAGCCCTAGAGTAAGCAGAATTTTACAGAAGCTAATATCTGCAAGGTTAGAGCTGTGGGGAAGGGTCTTGCAGAGGGTCTAAAAACTGCACGCAAGACAGACCAGACAGATTTGTGACAGGATTGTTGTTGCCACAAGATTTTTTTCAGTTGTAGCAAGATTATGCAGCTCTCAGCTAAATTTCCTTCCTGTTTTTGCAGGGTCACTGCTTCATCAAAGGGCTATTTTGGTTACAAAAAGTGTGTGTGTGGGGGGGGGGGGGTCCAGTAAGCTCTTAACAAAATGAAGTAAGTCTGGTTCACTTCCTCAAATGGATGGAGCTAGGGCATCACGCTATCTTTTTTGTCTACCCTCTTTATCCCTTTAGTGAACTCGTAACAAACAGCCAGGTGATCCTTTTAAAAGCTTAATGTAAGAGCTGAAAACACTTCAGTGTCACTCTGATTTACTCAGTATACCCCAGTCCTTACTCTGATTTAGACAGCATGTTCAACCTGGGCACTACTGACGCTCAGATCAGAAAATGTCTTGGAGTAGAAAGGTGGAGAGGTAGGCTGTCCAGTGCCTTGTAGGATATAGAGCAGCTTCACCAGCCTCCCTAACACTCCCTCTCCCCCCAAGTTATGACAACCAAAGTGACCCCAGACATTACCAAATACGGCCAAAACTGCTGCTTGCACTTTCCCTTTCACCTGTACCACTCTTCAATCTGGTATCTGTATGGCCTACTCCATCGTTTTCTTCAGCTTTTTATTCAAAACTCAGTTGTGATGCCTTTCCTACCACCCTATCTAAAATTTCAACTCACCCACAGACTTCATAGCTTCCTTTCCTTTATTCCCCATTACTGTATAGCAATGTCTTATATAGATTACGTTTATTTTTTGACAATAAACAAATATTCTTCCTCAGCAAATTGTATGGTTCATGAAGTCAGGCAACATTTTTAGCTGTTTCATTACTACTGTATCCCCCACCCCTAGAAAGGATACAGAAAACATACTATTTCCTTGTGAATGAATAAATGAATCCTGGTGGCCCCATTCCCATTCCAATGGTTAGTTTAGACAGTAAGCAGTGAGTGTTTGTCAAGTCTAGGTAATAAGAGGGAAAATAGTTTCCTGGATACTCTCTTGAAAGAGTCTGTCCAGGATATTCTTCTGTGTCCATGATGTGGTGCCTAGAATGGCTACAGTCATCTTATGACCAGGTGGGTGGGAAAAAGTACAAACCTAATACACCGGAGTGGCAGAACATTCAACAAAGGATGTTAGAACACTTTAGATACCCATATATATAAAAAAGAAAGGAACGAGAGAGGAAAAGGCCTAGCCCCTTACCTCACACCCCACATAACAATGAACTTGAAATTCATTCATAGACCTAAATATAAGAGCTAAAACTATAAAATATTTGGAAGACAACCTAGGAGAAAATCTCTGTGATATTTTAATTTGTGTACTTACAAAGTACAAAAAAATTAAGCTGGAAACCTAAAGGAAGAAATTGATAATTAACTTCCTCAAAATTAAAAACTTCTGCTCTTCAAAAAACACTGTTAATATACCAAGTATTAGCAAGGATGTGGAGCAGCTGAAACACTCTCATATTGCTGGTAATGGTACAGCCACTCTGGAAAACAATTTGGCAACTTCTTCTTATGTTAAACATTTAATATTATTAGTAATATTAATGATATGTTTATTAATATAATATTAATATATATAACCCAGCATTCATGTTACTAGTTCATCTCACCTACCAAGAGAAATATGAACCTGTATCTGCACAAAGACTTGTATTGAATGGTTAGAGAAGTTTCATATGTAATAGCCAGAAATTGTTACCAAATTTCCATCAACCAGTGAATGGATAGACAGTTATACCATATTACCTATATAATAGATTATCATTCAGCAATAAAAAGGAACAAGCTACCAACATATGCAACATCCTGGATGACAGCCTAGAACCTATGTTTTCAAAAGGTTCTGAGAAAATGTCCCCATGGTAGCTAGGTTACAGTTTGGTTTTTACATTCATGGAGACAGGAATTACAGGGTTGGGGGGTGATGGTTCATGCCTGTATTCCTAGCACTCTGGGAGGCCAAGATGGGTGGATTGCT